GGGTAGGGGTAGGGGTAGGGTTAGGGTTAGGGGTAGGGTTTGGGGTAGGGTTAGGGTTAGGGTTAGGCCTCTTTTTTATTAGTGTTTGATGGGGTGGTCGCTCGTTACCGAAGTCCTTCTATTTATTTCTTATAAGATTTAACTCAAAAACAATCTAGATCTAGATCTAGATCTAGTCTAAAAGGTAATTATTCTGTTCTAAAATACCACCAACTAGATATCTAGATTTAGATCTAGATCTAATTCCCGACCAGCCCGCTTTCATAGTTCCTTGCACATAACTTATCAGCCTAGTAGATATATAGGCTACGTTGTAGATCTAGACCTGTAGACAAGGCCTCTATAATAATACTACTCAACTAACTCCTGTACACAGCCGACACCGCAAGTGAAGTGTAGCCTAAGTTACTAGATTCTAGATCTAGATCTATGTTCGGCTCATTTTTGATCTAGATCTATCTAGATTCTAGATTTAGATCTAGATCTAGATCTAGATCTAGATCTAGATCTACTTACTCAATTGGAAGGCCTACTCAATTTAGGGAAATTCAAATGTTGGAGTGAAATTCAAGCCATCAATAAATTCAACGTTTACGCATTCTGGTTGCTTTTTTTTTTTTTACCTCTCTGAAAGTGGAAAATAAACAATAGATCTTCGCTCAGGCACTCATGTTTCTAATGTTGTTGTCGCTGCCGCTGTTTGTCAGGAGTGTTTATGTTTCTGAATGAGCTCTTGCTTTTGAGGTTAGAAGTCATTGAATCTTTCTACTGCACTGTTGATTTTACAATTAGCCTTATAGGCTAAAAGGATTGTAAGAACTTTGTTTTTCCCTCTTAGATAAATATGTTGATTTGTATCGATAAAAAGGATAATTTTCTAATTTTAAAATTGTTTGAGATAGAAACAAAACATTCCTTTCTTATGCTACATTTTCACGTTCCACTCTTATCTAGGCTTAGCAAAATCAAAGATTCTCTGACTTTACGATTTTGGCCAAAATGAGGAAACGGCTGACTTTAAATCTATCTGGCATGGATGTTCTTCTTTTTTTAGAGTTTAGTTTTGTAAACATGCGAAATATCGAAACTAAAATAACGCACCGCCGCCAAGCTTGTTTTCTTTTCCACCAAGACTCTCAACTGGGAGAAAGGGCATAGATCTAGACTGCAGTGGTGCTGGATTTTGTACGTATGTCGCAACACTTACCACGCAAAGAAATACGATTTTAATGTGTATACAGAGAGATATCGACTACCCCCTTTGCCTTTTCTCTTTTTGCAGACTTGATTAGCCGGTAATTGTATTGTTTACTTTCTCGCGTTTAATTCCGGCAGGGGGAGGTCTCTCGTAGAAGTAGAGAGCGACGACTCTGAACTCTAGATTTAGATCTAGATCTAGATCTAGACTCTAGATGAATATTAGATCTATACTCAAGTCAATGGCCATCAAAATCTGCACGGAAGGCATAAAGCCAGTATTTTACTCTAGATGTCTACCTTGCCGTGGTTTACGTACATTCTTAACGGCCACCTTGAGTTTGAGAATAACCAATAATGATATCTCGCTATTATTTATGGCCGGCACTATTTCTCCGAACGTTCAGGAAAATAAAGCTGGGCATTATTTCTCTGAACACTCTGAAATCTCATCCTTTCCCGCAAATTTAGGATATTATAAAGATCTATATAATTAAGGAAGAGGCTAGCCGTACTTAAGGACGGCTAGACTGTCAGGCTAGCCGTACTTAATATTGATGGCTGAATTGTAAATGAAATTGTTAGTTTGCAATGCCTTAATAAAAGTATTTGTATTTCAGACAAAACCAAAAGGTGCCTTACTCACTGACTTACACGTATTTGAACCTGAATAATTACTAGATCTAGATCTGAGACCTGTGTACTTAACAGGCTTGAGTCGATAGGGCCAAACCTAGATCTAAGTACGGCTAGACTGGCAGTCTAGCCGTACTTAAGTACGGCTAGCCACTTCGTATAATTAAAGTATAGATCTAGGCCTACCAAAGATTGTTCGTTTACAATGTGGTTCGATCGGTCCAAAAAATGTCCGCAGTAAATATTTATATAAAGAAATGCTACAACTCCAAACAGTTTTTCGCTACCGATATATGACGTGTTGCCTATGAAGGGTGCTGCTCATAAACGTAATGTGTTGTGTTCACTCGTGTGCTGTCTAGATTTAGATCTAGATCTACGGAGGGTTATTGATAACGACACATATAACTGGCATCTGCGTTTGTCACTGCTGCGACCAATGTACTGACACTGGCAAGCCCCTTAATGTGTGTTATTCCATAATTTACATGTAGGCTAATATCCTGTACTTTTCTTTTTAAAAATTACGCACATTTAGGGTTAAAACAGCAAATTTTCTTCGGACAGGTGGACACACGCCCTTATTTGTTAATGTTTGTTGTTGTTTGTGGGCTGTTCTAATTTTGATTTCATTCTGTTGTGAAACCTTTCTTTTTCACGTTTTTACACTTCATCTAAAAATCTCTAGACTAGCTCTTGAAAATTAAATAGATATAGACCCAAAAATTTGCTCCTGTGTGTGTGTGTGTGTGTGTGTGTGTGTGCGTGCGTGTCTGAGTGTGTCTGTGTGTGGTTGTAAGTGGAGAGCGAGGAGTGTGTGTGTGTGTTTGTTTTTCGGGCTTTATTTCAGCCTTTATTCAGTAACAGTTCAAAGTATACAAAATTAGAAACACAGGATCCATTCACTCCATGGCTCATGAGTCGTTCGTCTCTGTCAGTTTCACTCATTCATTTAATTCCCCTGTTCTCTCCCGCGGCTCATCCCCGTCCACATGACTTTCATACCCCACCCCCTCCCTCCAGGCACACACAAAGAAAATCTCACTAATTCCCTTGCACCCTGCGAACCATGAACAATAATAGGCAAAACACTGCCTGAGCTGCATTCCTTTCGTTCGTGAGCTGTGGACCAGGCCAGGGAGGTCGGTGTCGTCGTCTTGTAGTTGCTGTCGCCTGTGGATACACTCGCACATTCTTCCTTTCACCCGCTTTCTTTTTCACTCACACTGTCTCTCCATCCACAGCTCAGCTCGCCATACGTTCAAAAGTTGCCCACTGGTCATGTTTAGTTAGTGTGTGTACATGTGCATGATGGTGGTGGGTGTGTGGTGGGTGTTACTGAAGGTTGTCTGTAGGCGGGCTTTCCATGCGGTGCTCCTTCCCAGACCAGAGGCAGAATGAAAGTTGGCGCCGAACTCTCGCAATAAATAGGCCAAAAATCACGAGACCGGAAGCCGGAAACCGTTCGGAGAAATAAAGATCGGCACTGTTTCTCCGAACGTTCGGAGAAATAGACTTCGAAAATTTAATGGTAAGATTGAAGAATACTGGACCAGCGGACTGACCTTGCCTCTATGTCTCAACCTTAGGAATTCATAATTTTCCCGTTTTTAATATCTCTCAATGGAGAATCTCGGACCGGTAGATCTATGTCTATTCATTAAAATTTTGGCCTTTTTGTCAGGGGGGAGACCCCCCTGAACCACCCCTCCCCTCTCCTCCATCCCAACCACCCGCCCCACCTACCCCACTTTCTCGCGCAATAATGTATGAGTGGTCCGGTATTCTTCAATCTTCCCTATTTATTATATTCTCACTCCGGGTGAGAATAACCAATGCATGTCTCGCTATTCTCACCCACCCTCCCGATGAGAGTAGCTCCCACCCCGGTGTGGGCATTGAGGCGAGGACTCCCCCCTGACCTCTCGCAGGCCGATAAAATCACCTAGGCCCTTGCCTTGGTGGCTTACCCCATGTTATTGGAAACGAATTTATAATGCAAAAACATTTCTCGCATCTGTAAAAAAAAAGGCTCACTACCGACACTGAGCGGGATGTGGGACCGGCCGGACCATTCATATTTCGAAGTGGCTAGCTCAGTCTAGTCGTACTTAGATCTAGGTTTGGCCCTATCGACTCAAGCCTGTTAAGTACACAACAGGTCTCATTAGATCTAGATCTAGTAATTATTCAGGTTCAAATACATGCAAGTCAGTAAGACACCTTTTGGTTTTGTCTGAAATACAAATACTTTTATTAAGGCATTGCAAACTAACAATTTCATTTACAATTCAGCCATCAATATTAAGTACGGCTAGCCTGACAGTCTAGCCGTCCTTAAGTACGGCTAGCCTGGCTGTCTACCCGTACTTAAGTACGGCTAGACAAGAAGTCTAGCCGTACTTATCTTAAGCCCTATTAACATTAGAAAACAGGAGGTTTAAAATACATGCAATGTCATTAAGGCACCTGGTTTCGTCTCAAATACAAATACTTTAGGTACTGCACACTAAAAATTTATATTTACAATTCAGTAGACCTATTTTTTGTTAAATGGTCAATCTAGCCATCATATTTAGAATATAAGTACGGCTAGACTGCCAGTCTAGCCGTCATTAAGTGTGGCTAGCCTCTTCCATCATTGTTTACACACTTAACGATGACTGGCCTCCCAGCACACAATACATTTTTATGGTTCAAGGAACGGAGAGTGTGTGAGCGTGTGTACGAACGTAACGAGACACGAGCATGTGACCATGTTCTTGCACAGCGGTTAAAGGGTTGTAAATTAATCGGACCAAATGGAGGAGGACATTAAAACGTGTTAACTAGTTGAATAATTTTAAGCAATCCAAGCTCTTTTCTTCACTTTCCTTTATCGCGTTCATTTTTTTTCTTTTATTCTTTCTTTTTTTTTTTTTCTTGCCTTTTTTTCTGTCCCCTTCTTTTTCAACATTTGGAGTTTGGAACCAGAAAAGAGCCAGAGAGCCAAATGAAATACTCCAGGCCAGACGCAATCGAAAAGAGCCAAATTTATGGGATTTGGCTCCAATTTGACAACCCTGACTGTGACTGGATGTAGTTGTATCTATATAAATCTATTCTGACACCAACTCGATCCTGTGGAGCATTAAGTCCCGGTAACCTCAGCCCTGATCCCTCTTGGGTCATTTCCGGTAAAACAAGGGAGGGGGTGAGAATAATGAGGCATAGGTCATTCTCACCACTACCATTCTTAACTCCAGCGCAAAGTTTTGAAAATCCAATCGGGGATGCATAGTATAGATCAAGGGTTTCGTCTAGGTTTAGGCGCTGCCGGAATTAAACGTGAGAAAGTAAACAATTGCCAATTAGCCTAGCCTATAATCCAGTGTCTATAGTATAGAATAGATATCTCTAGATGATACTTGATCTAGATCTAGAAATCTAGATTCCAGATTTCTGACTGCCTACATATATATGTAAAATTGTTTTCAAGAAGAAAAGTGTGCGCTTTTTCGGTAGTCCCCACCCCACCCCAAACAAAGTCACAAAGTATACCGTGAACAGACCTGGTAGGGGAAATCTTTGTGATTTCGGAAAGTTTCAGCGCCCAGACCCGGTAGGGGAAATCTGTAGGCTATCTTTTGTGATTTCGGAAAGTTTCAGTGCCCTCTTGGCTCAGGGTAGACCTAGGTTGATCCTTATGAACAGAGAACCGGAGAGAGAGAAAGTGCAGACACTCGCAACACAATAACAGAGTCGAAAAAACCCCACAGAGGGAGAAATAGAGAGAGAGAGAGAGCAAGGGGGAGAAAGGAAAGAGTGGACAGAGGGAGGGTATGTGTGTGTTTGTTTTTTTGTGATATGCGTATTTGTCAGTGTGTGTATGTGTGAGTGTGTCTGTCTGTTTGTCCCTCTCTCTCTCTCTGTCTCTCTCTTTTTCTCTCACTCTCTCTATTTTTCCCTCTGCGGGTTTTTTCGATTCTGTTATTGTTTTGTGAGTGGTTCTGCCCTTTCTCTCTCTCCGATTGTCTCCAATTGTCTGTTCATACAGACCGGACCTTGGTTCTTCTCGAATATCTATGACCCAGGTTTAGATCTAGACAGACAGACAGACATAGATCATGTATCTAATTTCGAGGCCTAGATCTAAATGAAGATTGCGGATGTCTTTTCAATGTAGGATCATTTGTCCTCCGTTTTGGAGTTAGAGAAATGAGTAAGACAATTTGAAGAAAAGAACAATGTCATAATTTCAATCGAGCAGTCACAGTGACTCACCCTCTCTATTTCTCTGTCTCTCGCCATCTCTGTCCCCTCTTTTTCATTTTCTGCATCTCTCATCTCTCTCTCTCTCTTTGTTTGTCTGTGTCTTTCTTTCTCGCCCTCCTGCTTTCCCTCTCTATCTTACTCTTGTTCCCTCTTGTCAACTGGGGCATGTGATATTTGCTAGCACTTCCCCCTGTTCTCCACGCCCTCCTCTCTCTCTCTCTCTCTCTCTCTCTGTCTCTCTCTCTCTCTCTCTCTCGCTCTCTCTCTCTCTCTCTCTCTCTCTCTCTCTCTCTCTCTCTCTCTCACACACACACACACACACACACGACATACACACACACACACGACATACACACACACACACACACGACATACACACACACACACGACATACACACACACACACGACATACACACACACACAAATGCACATACACACACACACACTTCTAGAATTTATGTCTGTCATCTAATCTAGGCCATCTACTAACTGTGAGCCAAAAGGGCGCTGAACTTCCCAAAATCACAACAAATTTCCTCTGTACCGCGTCTGGTTTGATGGAGCGTGAGGGGCCAATTAAAAATGTATGACAAAGCGTCGTGCAATGAGTGACCACGCCTGGCCGCCTGAGGCAGGTTAAATTTGGCTGTCAGTTGATAAATTAAGGTGGAAGGATGGCCGTTTTACAGTTAACTCATATTTTTGAAAAAATTGAAGGGAAAAATTGAAGGGGGTAATGGAAAGTGGCCGTTTGTACTGATGGCCGTCATGGCAGGTTCGACTGCATATATATGTCTACAGAGTCAACATTGTTTATGTTCGTGTAGGGCCTGCCGAGGCCTACTGTTTTTATTTTTATATTTAATTTGAATACTTTTTATTTTACATAGTAAGCTAAGCCATGCACAAATCATTGCACTTGACATGGCTGTTAGGAAGGACTACTTTAGTTCGAAGCCATGAGTGCCCCGAATCATGTAATCTAACCCTGGTCACGGGGTGGGATAATAATCCGGTTTTGGCCCCGTCGAAAACTAAGGAATGTGGGTTTTGGCTCCACCGACAATTACTTCTGGTTCTGTTTTAAACGATTACTTCACTGTGGCTGCCGATATGGAGAGATAATCATATATCAAACCTAATTGCAAAACATCAGCTTATGGTTTGAATTCAGGGGGGCATGCCCCCCTGAAACTCCCAAATGTTTTTTTTAGGTCAGGGGGGCAAGCTGAAATCCCCCCCCTTGTTAAAAACATGTGAAATATTACTCTGCTCATTTTGTACTGAAAAATAACAGGGCATCTCTTGCTCTCGTTCGTATAAAACATCGATACCGAATACAGTAGAACATGGCTATAGCTGGACTGTTGGTTCCAGAAGAAAAATTTTGCTGTAGGCGAGCTCCCGCTATAGGAATGCAATGGGGAAATTACAGAAAAAATTTCTAAAAATGTACATGATTACATCCCTTCCATAATCAACAAAGTTTGCGCTTTAGATTAGTCTTCCTATTCTTGTCAACTTCGTTGATTGTCTCAACCTTTAATTCGAGTGAGAAGCATTTCCTTTAATCTTTGATGGAAGCCATCTTTTCCTCGGTTTGTTGCTCACAACTTGTGCTGTCGATTGTACCAGTAGGCCCACAGTAGAACTTCTGAAGTGGATATGTGCGTATGCCTGAGCATCAACGATCGCAATTCAATGAATCAGGAATCATTCCCTACATGCTCTCCTCTTCTCTTACTTTTTGGCCTATATGCTCTTTTAATATGGTACTAAGTGTTCTAGGCTATGGCACATCACTTTTAAATTTTGGACTGACTCATGTAATGCGTCTCTCTGCACCATCTCTCTCTCTCTCTGCCGCCTGCCCCATTTTACTCTTCACTGAACTGGCCAATCACAATGCCGCACCGTTGACTGCCTGTTTGGATCCCGCCTACGCTCCCCCGACCCCTTTCCCCACAGCTAGAGCTCGCTCGATCTCTCCCGCTGTTTCCAAGTTAGGGCCTTTCTTTGCCCCGTTAAAGCCGAGTACAGGTAATTGACTTTGCCTAGGAAAAAAAAGGGGGGATTCCGGTAAGGTCCCCTGTAGGGGTGGTCCCGCTGCAGAGGGTGCCACTATAGTCATGTTCTACTGTATAGATCTACATCACCTTTTGAGGGGTTCACGTAGCGCGTCTCTCCGCTCCATCTCTCTCTAGGCCTACCACCTGCCCCACCTCACTCACCACTAGACTAGCCAATCACAACGCCGCACCACTGACTGCCTGTCTGGAGCCTGCCTACTGCCCCCCCCCCAGCTAAAGCTCGCTCGATCTCTCCCGCTGTGTCAGAGTTTGGGACTTTCCTTGCCCCGCTATATCCAAGCATAAGTAACTGACTTTATAATTTTACAGGGGAAAAAAGGGGATTCCGGTAAGGTCCCACTGTTGGGATGGTCTCGCTATAGGGGGGTGCTGCTATAGTCATGTTCAACTGTATTTTAAGTCAGTATTGAATATCCAGTACTCTTGGGGCCTAAACAGGAGAGTGGCCACGAGTTTACATAGGCACGGTCTAGAGGATTAACCCAGCCTCGCTCACAACTCACTTAATTTCAACTCCAATTAAATTCGCAAATATGCTCATCAGTAACTTTGTCATCATTTTTTTTTTGTCCATTAAGAGGAACAAAGAACAAAGAGGGTGCAATGGGGGAGCGGTTAGTGCGCTCCTCTCCGAAGCGGAAAGTCTGGATTCGAGCCTCGGTTAGGACACAGATTTTTTTCTCCTCCTCCTGCCCACCCTGCAGTAATGGGTACCTGACTTCGAGTTGGGAAAGTAAAGGCGGCGTGGAAAGGAACTGGCCACCCTACCGCAATATGCCAAAGGCCCAGGAAGTTGTCTCACTAACAAGGCAATCCCCAATGTCCGGATCGGATACGGGAACAACTTTACTTTTAAGAGGAACAAGAAGAAACTCTTGTACTCACTTTTTTTAAAGTACATTTGTATGAAATACGTTGCATGGTGTTCCAAAAATGGCTCATGTTTTTACAAAGCCCTTGATGAGTGTGTTTCGTTTTCTGCTTTCCGTTTCAGTAAAGATTGAGTTTTTATGAGATGGGTTGATGAGGATGTGCTTTTTTCAAATTTAAATTTGATAAAACCAAGCCCAAGAAATTTTAAAAATTCACATTAAAAAAATTTTTTTTTAAGTTTTAAGACTCACTTTGTTGGGGTTTCTTCCGTAATCCACGGTTTTGGAGTAATTAAGGGTTGTCGTCAGTGTTCACAAGTATCAACACTTTCTGTGCCGGAGGCATGCTGGACATGAGTTCTGGACTTAAACTAAGGTGCTGGGACTGCATCACAACTTTCAACTTTTTTACGTGTATCCCTGCTCCTCATCTCCCCAGTTTGGCTACAGAAGGATGGATGAGTTCACTGCTTTGTTTACAATGTAAGGCCAAACCAAATCGATAAGCTTGTATCCACGGGATGCAGTGGTTTTCTAGAATATAATGATGTTTTGGAAGTTCTTTTTTACTAAAATGTCTCCTGAATTATCACAATGACATGCAAGTTTTGATGTTGGTCAATGTATGAAAGTCTGTCTTTCGGCTCTGTCTGCATGAAATGTGGATAATGGATGTGACCATCTCTAAACTAAATGCGTTGTTTAATTGATTAAATTTATATGTTTTGGTGGTGGGGGTTTTTCTAGTACTTCTTTCTTTAACAAAAGTGCAGTGTAGTGGGGTCTTTGTAACGTTAACATGATTGTGGAAGTGATTGTCAATGAAATAGAGACTGTGATATACCTGTGGTGTGATGTTGTGTGAGTCAAGTATGGTGTCTAAATGAGAACAGATAGGGCCAGTCCTAAGGTTAATAGGTTCATGCTTTAGCTCAGATAATCTGTCTTTTTTTCTCTGCCAATCAAGTTAGCTTTCTCATCCTCCCTAGGACTCCTGTTCTTGCCAAACGCCGTACGTTTTTGATGTTTCCGGTCTTGTCCACTGGGCTTTTGGCATGTGTGCTCTACAGTTGTTTTTCTCCTTCTTTCCTATCGAACATCTATCTTCATTATCTCTCCTCCTTCTTTTTTTTGTATGTTCCTCTTGGACCACCTGTAATCTTCGGCACTTATGACCTCTTTTTGTTGGAAATGCCATAGAACCCTTACTAAAACTAACTCAAAACTATTGTGTTAGCACAAATGAAAAAGATGTTTGTTGAATGCTCTATTTGTGAGTCTGTTGAATTTACTCCGAAGGCCAAGAGAATGTTTGAGGCAAATATATAGTGCAATGTGGAGACCGCCTTCTCTGTGCCTTCTGCTCGCCTGACAATGTTCCGTCATTATAAGTTATGTAAAGTTCACGCAGATTTTGAAAATGACAATCATTTCTCTGTGTCTCCATTTCTTTATTGGACTACCTATTCAAATTAAATAAAAATATGTCAAGGGGGGAGCGGGAAGATTCTGTTAAGACAGGTTTGTTTTACGCAGGTTTCTCTTAAGGCAGGTCTGCCTGTATTTTATCAAGAAAATCTTTTAATGATCACTTCAGGTATACTTAACCATCAGAAATTGAAAATGGCTTTTTAAAAAGTGACTAAAACCCATGCTTGGGATAGACTGTCGCCTTTTCCCCAGCTCTAAACTTCAATTGAAGTTGAACTCTGTCGTACCAAATGTTCGCTGGGACTTCCCCATCTGTATTAATAGCAGTGTGCATGAATATCCATTTCTGGAAACAAAAGGCACTACTACTTCCATATTTATCCTTACCTTACCCATTTGCTATTTTAGTGTCTTCCCGGTGTACTGTGTTCTTAAAACTTCTAGAAGTCATATCTTTTTACCCTACCTGAGAAAACATGCTATATCTCAAGAACTATTTGAAATTCTGAAGGAAAAAAAGTTTAATACCACTGTTCAGCTTTGAATTTTCCAGCAAAAATAATATACTTTTTTATTTTATTCAGATGAAAAAATCATGGGGAACCCAGATGATGCTGGGCTGACTGTTGTCCTTCCAAGCTGTGGCCCAAATTGTGTAGAGACTTTGAGACATCATCTAGATTTCAGCTTCAGAAGAGAGCATGGGAATGGGAACAATGGACTGAGAGAACATAATGTGTGCCTCTGCCTGCAGTCTCAAGATATTAAACTTTTCTGTTCGATTGACTTCAGTAAAGTTGGCGCCCAGCTTACATGTTTAAACTTGAACTACAACAGATTGTGCAGTCTTCCAAGCGGCTTGAGCGTTCAGCTTCCCAACTTGTGTTCTTTTCTGGCTGATGGTAATGACCTGAGTACTCTTCCTGAGGATTTCGGAGACTTGACACATCTCCAGGAACTGTGCTTGTGTGAAAACAACCTGACTGTTCTTCCTGAAACTTTGTGCAGACTGAAAGATCTAAAAATTCTGAAAGTTCGTGCAAATTCCTTGAGGCAACTGTACTCTGAAATAGGACAGAACACATTCCTTGAAGTAATCAGTGTTGATGAAAATCGTCTAAAACGCTTCCCTGCTACAATAGGTTTGTTAAAAAAATTGAGGATTCTTGAGGCAAACGACAACAAAATAGAAACCTTGCCTTCCACAGTTCATTTTCTGGAAAGTTTAAGAACTCTTGATTTAAGTAGAAATAGGATAGACAGACTTCCTGACACATTTGGAGAGTTGAGAAATCTAAGACGAATTGATTTCTCTAATAACAAACTAACTCACCTATGTGGCACATGCAAGTCTGCCTCTGTCTTGGAGTATATATTTTTAGATTCAAACCAAATTGCAGTTGTGCCTGAGTGGTTTTGTGATTTAGAGTCTGTGAAGGAGATTACTTTGAAAGGTAATGAACTTTTTGGTTGTGCCTTTAAAGAGCAGTTTGGTTCCAAGTCTACACATCTAGAGTCACTTGACCTGAGAGGGAACTATTTGGACAAATTACCTTCAAATTTTACCAAAATGACATCACTGAAAGTTCTGCTGATGGGAACACCTTTAGAAGCACTTGAGAGAAATCCAAATTTTCTCAATGGCAACTGGCTCACAAGTCTCCCTGAGCACTTTGCCGACTTAGAGTCACTGACGACACTGCGGCTAGAAGAGAACCAGCTCAGCTTTCTACCAGAAGATTTTGGACGACTGTCTCATTTGGAAGAACTTTTGCTTGGTATGTTAGATTGACCCCCACCCTCCCACCATCATTCTCCCCCCCCCCCCCCCCCCCCCCCCCCACACACAAACATAATATGAAAAAATGAAAAGATTTTTTCATCTGATAAGTCACGTTTTTGTTTGTTTTTTTGTTTTAGATTGGCTTGTTGACTTACAATTTGCCAGTGTGCAGTGGTCAATATCAGATATAAAAAGAAATTCTCTCCAACGAAGAGTTTACACTCACAGTGATTTGACTTGTTTCTCTTTTTCATTGCTAACTGCCTGGGTTTTAAAAATTTATCTTTGTGAAATAAATTTTAAAATAATTTTGTAAGTGAAGTCTCTGAGGTCTACTTCTAGAAACTGTGATTTGCAAAGTTCTTAAAATATGTCAGCCTGAATTTTCTAGGAGAATTCATCAGCTCAGTTCCCATGTTATTCCTTTTTGTATGAGAGATTTGTTGTCTTGGAATTTCCCTTTCATTTTCATTCATTTGAGTAATTCAATTGCATTATCTGTCCAAAGGGAATAACTTCTTGTACGAGCTACCAGCATCTTTCCCTCAGTTGGAATCACTCACAAAGTGTCAACTAACAAAGAATAGATTGGAAAAGCTACCCAGTGATTTTGGTGCTCTCACGACTTTGCAAGAACTTCATCTTGACTCAAATAGGGTGAGAGCCATTCAAATATTGTTTGTATTAAAATATTTTAGATTTTGGGTTGCTGGGTTTTTTTTTCCAGTTTTTTTGGGGGGGGGTTTTGTGCTTAAGTTACACATCATACCTTGAATTGTTTCAGTCTCTGTGTCATGAATTGTTTCTATTTCTGTATCTGTAGCTTGTATGAGCTTTCAAAACTATGCAGCAAGAAAATCCAAATTGTAAAAATGATGTGTCAAACTTGGTCTAGCCCACCAACAGTCTTATTCTTAACTCTTTATCTCCGGCAAGCCGCTCCCAGCAGCTCGCGGTCGGAACCACCATGCCGGTGAGCCGCTAACAGGGCACATTCCTTTACGACGACTTTGACATCAAATTACTTTTCGTCAATTATCGACAACAGGTCTCTTTTACCGGAAGTTCATTCATTTGTTTTAGTACTATCAAAATAGGTTTGCTAGTTTCGATTTGATGACCCATTTAATGACGTTTTTTGTCATTTTTAGATTTAACGCCAAAAAAGGACCCCAGCGTAGTTGGTTTACCCCCCCCCCCCTGGAAAATAAAGAGTTAAAGTATATTCTCTTTACTCAGATCTTAAATTGGTTTTTATTTCAAGAATTTGGAACTACTTGTGACTTTCAACAAGAGTTCTTTCTGTTCAGTGAAATAAATGATAGGATAAAAAGGATGATAACAATTTGATGCCCTATGTTTAATTAAGAGAGGAGATAACATCCACTGGCCGATTCTACTTCAGTGAGACCTAAATACAACACATTTAAACTCGACGAAAACTCAGACTCAATAATCAAAATCAACAAAATAACTTGTTTTCACTAAATACCTAGGGGGGATCTCATGGCCTAGAGGTTAAGGTGTTCGCCTCTCATTCAGTAGGTCCCGGGTCTGAATCCGGATATTGACGGAAAGTTTTCTACTCTAAAATGTTCTCCTTTCACATCCTTTCCTGCTCTCTAATAATGTTCTGTCGACTGCTTTCGTCTCCACTTTCTGCCCCCACCCCCTAATCTCCTTTGCCCCCTCCTCTAGGCTCCTGACTCTTTCTGTAGTCTCTCTACTGCTGCTCCTTAGCTCCCTCCTACTACTGTCTTTCAGCCACACCCCCTGATGTTCTTGTAGGAAAGATCTACTCCTTGCCTTCTCGGACAAGGGCTACCCCTTCGGGGCGGTGCCACTGACTGTAGTGTCTTTAGGCCATTCACAAAGGGGGGACATTTTTCATTAAAGTGCACAGTAGAATTGTAAATGGGCTGATCCAACAATGTCATGCTCATAACTGTGTCTGAACTACTACAGAGAACTGCAGCTTTTTCTTTCCAAATCTTTACTATCGTCATTTTCCTCTACTTCTTTTGTATGTTTGTCACACTCTTGTGACCCGCTATTTCCAGGGTGTCTTGATAATCAAAGCAGACTTTGTGCTGTTGAAGCTAGAGTGGTGAGCGGAGTAAGTCTGATTCCCTGTGAGGACTTTTCTGTTGACATCCACCCCTTGGCGCTCATATAACCTTATGCAGTTGCGAGCGCAGTAAAACCTCAACTAATAAACATCGGACGAGGACGAAAAATCTCGGTGGTTCCGTGTGCAAGTCGCGCACATTAAAAATCCCTTGGTGGTCCAAAATCGATAAGAGTAGGCTTCTTCCGCCACCTAAGCAAAATTCAAAATTTCGTTCTTACTGAAAATGTTTAATGTGTCCCGCGTGTTCATATGACCTTATGAAGTTGTGAGTGCCGTAAAACACTTACCAAAAAAAAAAATCAACACTGCATACACACAGAGCAAACTGGGATTGAGTGAAGTCACTTGCAAGGCAAATAGTGCCCTCTGATGTAGTTTTGAGCATTTTCTCTGGCAGCGAACCAACCGTACACCAAATTATTTTTTTTGCGCAACTCGAATGAAATTTTTATGTACTTTAAGGATATTTGTAAATTCATGTTGCTAGCGAAATGTTAAAAGGGACACTACTGTATCTTAACTGAAATAGAGAATTTGTATTGCTTACTAGTAAGTACATATCAAATTTGTGTTTGCTGATATAAACATACACAGCATGATCCCTGTGTACGGAGCAAGCTTCCTGTGTTTTCTTTGAACTTGTTCTGTACACTGCACAATATTAGAGTTCCAATACCAATGGTATACAACTAGAAATTCTTCAGAAATCACGCATAAATAACAATAATAATAATAATAAAGATCACTTCTATCATGCCCACTCTGTGATTGCTCTAAGCGCTTCACAATAAAATTAGATTTAAACCAATGTCTCATGCAAACTTACCCTTTCAACATGCAATTCTTTCAAATGCTTAATATTTAATATACACTCATATTCTACTAAAGAACACGTACACAAAAAGACAATCACTGTGGCTACTGATCCCACTTGCTGTTGGAAGAAGAATAAAACTAATCAGTAAAATGAGATTTAAATAAATGTGTTTTTAGACCAGATTTAAATGTGGTCGAAGTAGATGCCTCTCTTAAATGCAGTGGAAGGGAATTACAGACTGAAGGAGCAGCTGTCGGAAAAATTCTACGTCCAATTTTTTTAGTTTTACAAGGCACAGTCTTGAGTTGTTTTTATAAAGTAAATGGATCTTAAATTTGGAGATGGAATATACTCTTGTAGTAAATTAGAAAGATATTGTGATACCAGATTGTTTAAACACTTATAACACATTATTGCAACTTTGTAATTTAGCAGGGAGCTAATGTAGTTGTAATAGCAGTGGTGTTGCCCATTGTCTTGTAATGGTGCTGAGTGATTCAAAATCAAAATGTTCACATAAAAGGAAATGGAAAAATACATTAAATAAAAAAGAAAGCACAAAAAGAACCTGGTGTACAGTTTGTATTCTATTCTAAAGGACTGTCAGTTTCCCTGCACAGTATATTAGGCTGTTGTGTACCGCACACTATACTATGATTGACTAATCAGAGACGCAGAGATTGAAATTTCTTTCACTTCATTGGAGTTCTTATTTTGAAGTATCTTTCATACTTGTTTGTACATTACTTACCATGCATTATATTTGCACAGCTGCGGGATTTGCCAGAATCAATGTCACGTCTTACCAATTTGGAGATTCTGGATCTGAGTGAAAACAAGCTACGTCGAGTCCCTTCTGAGATTATTTCATCCCTCCACAAACTTAAGGGGCTTACCATGCTCTCAGTGAGTCTTATTATGTACAGTCATACCTCCTTATACCACTTACCTTGGGACGATCATAAAGTTGATAGTACAGCGGGGCTGGCGGTACAGCGAGGTTTTCTTGCCCTCTGTTTAATACATGTAGAACCAACTACCCAACGTCAGGGGAACTTGTTTACCAATTGCTAGATGAAATAATGAGTTATCTCCCTTCGATCTGTCACTTTGACCTGAGCGTCTCACTATCTTAAAACCCCACGGGCATAGCGACGCCTGATATTTTGTTGGGAGGGAGGGGCAAGATGGCGGGGCTCCTTTAAAGTTTCTTCTGGCAACTTAAAAATAAAATTTTATTTTTTTAATGATCAAGACCTAAAAGTAATAGCAATTTCATTGTCAGCACATCACATATAGTCAGATTTACGTGGGGAGCGAAATTTGGTGCTGAATTACAAAGTTCTGTTTTTATTTTATTTGTACTCTTCTACATTATACAAAAAAAGTATTGTGTTCCCTTGGGACACATTACATTACTGTTGATATATCCATATTGCCTGAAATCTACAAGACAAGGGTTGTGGGATGGGCAGGGAGGGAGCAAATCGGCAAAAAGCGTTTGACTTTATCTAGGCCTAGTACGTAGATACTTAATATCGTTAAGCAACCTCCTACTCTGAGGTATCGAATAAGGGTCCCGGGCGCCACCCGCTTATTAATTTTCATTTTTTTGCATACACAAACACACACACACGTACACACCCCGCGTGCTCCTTATTCCATACCCCCCACATATTATTTCCAGCTTGCCATGAGCGACGATCTTGTGAAACATTATATCTAGAATCTAGATGTCTGAATGAAACTTCTTTTTTTTGTAAATGGCAAATTACCCTCAGTATTGGTACCGATACTGGGTTGGGTACCTCTATTTTCTGTGCATTTTTTAAACTTTTGTACGCTGGTTTATATTTTTTAATGAAACTGATTTGTTCCTAAATGGGAAAAGTTGTCACAGTAACTTACTAAAATCACGAAAATTTCATAATCTCTTGTTCTTTTATTCACTGAAAGAGAAATAAAACAGATTTGCTCCTACTAGTACAGAGGTATGAGGTTGAATGTGCCAGCGCCCCCCCCCCCCCCCCCCGTTTATTATTTTTGGACCACTTGCCCACACCCCTCCCCTTTTATTCCTATCCCCCCGTTTATTCGATAGCTCAGAGTAGTGGATGTGCCATGCGCCCTGTATAGCCTAGTGTTTACCGTGTGCTTCTGGCAGCCAGTTTGCTGGTCGTACAACAGGGTAAAGTTAGAGTAGTTTAATAAGAACCGTACAACTGTGTCGGATGGTGGTGTAAGGGCACAAATGCTGTTTATAAAGGGGATTCTTTTCGTGCATTGGCAAAACCTGGTGGTACAACGAGGTTTGACTGTATTTATTTATGATGTAAATACCATACCTGTTTCCTGTCACCATGGTCGTGTTTGTTCATTGCTATAATGTGGCTCTTTTAAATGATATATTTTGTTTGTAGTACTTATAGTGTTGAAACTTAAGCTGAAACGATTTCTATTAAAGTATTTGTGATAATGATTGCAGCCGTCATGTGAACATAACCTTTCATTCACTGTTTCTGGTGTAGGAGTTAGGCACTTTGCAGTAGCACACAAAAGACCAGAGTTTAACTCCTGTGTGAGGAGAATTTTTATTGAGTATCTTTTTTCTGTCTGCTAAGATGTTGTATTCAACTCAGCATGGATAGGCCTGACAGATAGGGTCAAAGCTTGTCTCCTAAATGATGTAAATTGTGTCTAAGGGGACATAAAAACACCTACAGTAAATTAAAAAAGAAACTGTTCTTCCAAGTACTATTGTGACTGGATCCATAATTTTTTGACATTTTGTATTTTCTCATTCCGTTTTCTAACTGCAGGAATAAGACTATAGGCTTTGAACATTGAACTGTATCATTGCTAGCAAAAAGATAAATTGCTTGTCATTTCTTTTTCTTTTAAACTAATCAGCAATTTCATTGAATTATAATTTTTATTTTTTTTTGCCCTCAAGGTTTAGCAACCTGCACAATTTCATGCATGCATAGAAGGTTTATGTATTTCTTTTGATATGACTTTGTTGTTTTTATCAAGTCAGAAAACAGCTGAGCAACATATATTTCATGACAGCACAATATAATGTTTTCATGGTTTGGTAAGGCCATAGGGTTAACTTTTCTTTTTGCTCCTTTAACAGAACAAATTTGAAGTTCCCGACTCTGACATCCCACAAATCGTGAAGAGAGCTCACTATGAAGAGAGGAATCCAGAGTACAAGGGCAACTGGCGGGGACGCAACAACAGACCAGAAGCTACTCAGGAAGCGCTGGCACAGGTGAGGAGATCACAGGAATAACATCCTAGTTAATGGGTCGTGAATGAACCAGATAAACCCTTGCTTCTGATGATATAGAGTTACACTTGCCTTAGTGATCACCTTTCCATAGGGGTCACCTATACCAACGGCCACCGCTGTTTCCCCGCTTGTGTTTTTCCTATATATTTGTAATCTGTCCATAGCGGTCCTTGTCCAACATGGTCACGGTCAGTCACTTTCACAAGTCATCCTCAAAACCTGCTTATAGCAATCACTTGCTACAAAAGTTTTCCGCCAAAGCGCCCTGAAATTGTATGTGTACCTAAAGGCCTATTTATTCAGATGGGTAAATGTTATGTTTCATGAAATAATAGAACTGTGACACTTTGGTGCACACATATCCAATCCAAGTGATTGAAATGGAAAAACTTGTATACTTATTTATTGATACATGTGATATCAGCATAACAATTCAGATTAAAAGCAATAAATGGCTCTTACATACAGGAAACAACATGTGAAACACGGTCTGATTAGATGGTTTGTATTTTACAGCTCATTATAATACTAGCAGTCATACGCATATTTCATCGTAATGTTTGGATTTTAATAGTCGTGGTCAACTTCTTACAGTTGGGGCATAGTGTGGTGCTAGTAGCCATTCATTTAAGAAGTAGGCATTTCTGTACAGTGGAGCTGATGTTGTATTTCACATTTTTGTCCTTTTTTATACAGCTAAATAGATTAAATAAATTCTTAATCTTATGGAGGAACTAAGAATAAACAAAAACAATTTGGGAAAATATATGAATCTTCATAAAGAAATCAGACACAAATGTAATCTAGCAAAAGAGACCTGGTTAAGAGAAGAATGTGAGGAAATGGAAAATCATTCCAATGCGAACTCAAAATATCTACACAGAAAAATTAAAGAGGTGTGCCATACAAGAACACGTGGATCAACAGGATGCCTCAAATCAAAGGATGGGAATGTCATAATGGACAAAGACAAGATACTAGAACGTTGGACAGAATATATCGGTGACCTGTACAATGACAAAAGAGATGAACAAAGAAGAGTGGAAAATAACGAGGGACCACCAATCATGAAAGAAGAAGTTATCAAGGCACTACGAAAGATGAAGAATGGGAAAGCTGCAGGACCGGACAACATCACCACAAAGATGATTAAAGCTTTAGAAGACTTTGGAATCACCACAAAACTTCTTAACAACATATATGCCACTGGACATATTCCATCAGACTTGTCAAAATCTATCTTCATAGCTTTACCGAAGAAACCTAATGCAAACGAATGTGAAACACATCGTACCATCAGCCTCATGAGCCACATAACAAAAATATTACTCAGAATAATTATGATGAGAATAAGAAATAAAATTCTCCCAGAAATAGCCCAAGAACAATGTGGATTTATTGAAGGCAAAGGCACTGTAAATGCCATATATGTCATCAGAACAACAATAGAACGTGCCCTAGAAGTTCAGAAAGATCTTCATTTATGTTTTATAGACTACACCAAGGCATTCGACAAAATCAAGCACGACAAGATCATCGACATGCTGGAAATTCTTAATATCGACGGGAAGGACTTAAGGATTATCAAAAACATGTACTGGGATCAAATTGCTGCAATGAGAATAGAAAACGACATCAGCGAATACATACAGATTAAAAGAGGAGTCAGACAAGGATGTGTACTTTCTCCAGACTTGTTCTCCCTGTATAGTGAAAATATCATGAGACACATAGAAGAAATGCCTGGTATCTCGATAGGGGGACATAATATAAACAATCTAAGATATGCAGATGACACAGTCCTAATAGCAGAAAATGAAGAACACCTGCAGAATCTATTAAATGTCATCGTACAAGAGAGTGACAACATGGGCTTAAGCCTAAACATCAAGAAAACCGAAACGATGGTGATAAGCAGAAATACTCCAATCCCAACATGCAATATCAAAATCAATGATACCACCCTCAAGCAAGTACAACATTTTAAATATTTGGGGACCATTATATCATCAGATGGTAGATGTCACACCGAAATTAAAAGCCGCATTTGCCAAGCAAAAGCAACCCTCCACGAGATGAAACAGATACTAACAAACATCAATCTGTCACTGGAAATGAGGAAAAGAGTAATGAAAAGTTACATCGAGCCAATCCTTTTATACGGGTGCGAAGCGTGGACAATCAATAAACAGCTGGAAAGAGCAATTGTAGCGACAGAGTTGTGGTTCATGAGACGCATGCTACGTATCCCATGGACAGCTAGAAAAATAAATGAAAAAGTCCTGGTTGAAGCAAATTATAGAAAACAACTTATCACGAATATAAGAAAACGACAGGCAAATGTTTTCGGACACACAATGCGGAAAGAAGCATTAGAGAACATTGTAACAACAGGAAAGTTTGATGGAAAGAGAGGCAGAGGCAGACAGAGGGAAAAGATACTGGACAAGATGACAACATGGCTGGGAGCAGCAAGAACAACAGACACCATTGCTGCATCGAAAGACAGATGGAAGTGGAGGTCCATAATCGCCCACGCCAGTCGGCAAGGCACCGGATGATGATGACCTAAAGGCCACACATGGGTTTTTGGGGTTCAGTTTGGGCCCAGTGTTTTTTGGGTTTTAACAAACTTCCCTTGAAACCTATGTGCTGAATCGAATGGAAGCACTCCCAAAGCTCTATTTCAAAGAGACAGCTCTGTAAAGTTAGTAACATTTTGAGCCAATACAATGCTTTAAAGCAATTTTGAGATTTTTTACTCTTCTTCAAAATGATTATTTCTAGGCTTTAAAAGCTAGAAACTCTAAAACTATTCCAGATATAGAAATGAAATTTGAAGGGTGAGCATGATTTTTGAAAAAATATAATTTTAATGATTTTTTTTACTTTGCGATTTTAACCATTTTTTAATTCTTTAATATTTGGTACTAAAACTTAATTTTCAAAGTAGCTGTATGCCCGATTTATCTGTTTCATATGAAAGGCCTGTGTCTCCTGAGAATTTTGGTACCATTTCTTTACCTCTCAGTCAATTTTTTAAAGAAAATGGTTGCTGTTTGCAATTTGATAAAATATTGCTTAATTGCTAACTGTCTGCAACCCCATGTTTGACAGATATTAATAAAAGAGTACCAAGTGCACCAAACATCTCCACATTAACAGAGTACAATCGCTATAACATAGATATGGAGCCTAATTTTTTTTCAAGACTCTGAGACCATTACAAATCAGTATTTTATTGCCTCAAACACGATGATTAGTGACATTTGTCGTTATTTCGACAAAAACATCGAGCGCTGAACTGACTGGCGCCGCACTGGCCCCCACGGCGAACAAGTCAGCTCTATACTGCAGTGTACCGAGTGCTCCCCGCATTGGGGGTCACATGCTTTCGAAGTCTCATGGATGGATTGATGCAAAATAATTCCAAGCCGATGGCTTTTTTCTAATAGAAAATAAACTGATCTTTCCATTAGTACCTTTTTTGAGCCGTTATTCGTGTTAAAAATTATCTTTGAAAACTTTGATGTCATTTTTAGAGGCTTTCTATTTAAAAGTCAAAGGCCAAAAATATACCACGCGAAAACCTGTTCAAAGCTCATAGTTCTCTGCCAATGAAAAGACGGTACTTAATCATCAATCTTTCCGCGAAGCATTCGAATGCATGATTGTCAATTTTTTAACCGGCCCACCGTGAGGGGCTTCGCTTTCCTTGGCGATTCTCAGCTCCAATACTCGGATATATATACAAACAATTTAGACCACTGTAATGAGGAAAAGCTGAACTTTTTCAAGGTGTTCAACCTTAAAATTTGGTGTTTTATAGCGAAAGAGCGAAGAAACAGCGATCTGAATGAACCCAATTTCACAGAAACCATGCGCTTGGAAGGCTGCATTGCCCGCGAGGCTGTGTTTACACTACTTACTAATATGCAAGTCTTCTAAAAGAAATAAGATTATTAATAAGCTAGCGTCATTTTCTGAAAATTTGTGTGCTTATTACAAATATATAGATCTAATTAGTTCATAGATAGCATGGATAGTTTATGAGTTTTTAGCTTTTGAAAATTGTCCTTCAGATATCATGGTTTCACTCTAATTTGCTATTTCTGTTATTATGTAACTGACAATTATTCTCAAAATTGAAAATTTTTATTCCTTTAATGGTATTCTTTGAGAAAATGAGAAAAAACAAGCAAAACTAACTTAATTGTAGATTTTGGTGTTAAGAAGTAGAGTGTGGCCTTGTTGTTGTTTTCAAATCTCTTTAGCTGCGAGAATTTCGCTCTTGGCAGCGCAACGCCTCCCTCAAGTAACCACATGTCGAATATGGCCTTAAATCAATGCAAAGAAGCTCTTATGGTAGATAACACTTTTAGTGGAAATGAAATAGAAAGATAAGTCATGGCTGGGTTGTTTTTTGGGTGATTTATTTTTTAAAGATATCCATTACTTTGACTAAAGTCTTTCCCCATTCCTAAACATTTCGCCAGGAGCTGAATAACTCAGGAAGAAACAGCCCATATTTTGGACAGAGTGACTCGGGTGATGAGGACGGAGATGCACAGCATACTGCACAAGACTCAAGTGATGAAGAAGAGGACTGGGACAAGGAGATAGAGCAATCTATCAGTTCGTCTAGTAAGTATACTGTAGATTTTGTCCATCATGTTTTAATTTTAATGAGGCTGGAACCTCAATTTAGTTTCTTTTTGCTTCATTTCTTTAGGAATAAGACCAAAGTGTTTATCTTTTTGTGGAGATAGAATTGCACTGGGGTGGTAGAGGGGACTTCTTAGTAGGTCCTACTTCCTCAGTGTCCTTATTTTATTTCTTTCCTTCAGTTGTCACTCGTACTGGCAGTAAACAACCATTTCCTCTCTGATGTACCCCATGATGAATGCAAAAATGCCAACCAGTACGATTTTACGTATTTTAGTAAGATTTTTTGCCGAAAATATGCGAATACGACTTTTCATGAAAAAATACGCATCCTGGAATGCGAAAAATACGAGATTCAGCTTGGGCAAGTAAACCTAATTATCTCAAGTCCCATCTTTGAAAAAATCAGTATCGCAGAACTGGAATATTTGAAAACCAAGTCCGATAAGGTCAGTAAGTTCATTTTTGCCTGTCGCGATCGTGATATTATATTATTCGTTCAGCTTTTCCCGGTCCGGAGAGTACATTTCACTTTCACGCGTATAGGCAGCTATGGCGGCAGGCGGAAGCATATGTGACACCGGGCTCGATCGGGAAAATCAAGATCTACTTTCGCTTTCGTTACCACCGAGTAGTTTGCCAGCAGTTGTCTAATAACGCAACTTTTGTGACATGCAGGTTGTGCAGTATAAACGCAATGTCGCCGTGCAAATAACATTTAATCAATGCTCGGACTCGCCTCTGTGCTGTCACTTGTGGGGGAAAAAAAGAAAAGTAAATACAAGCGTCGTCCGATTTTTAGATTGTCTGGCTGGCCATCGTGACCAGTCACTGAACCTGCGCGCATTCGCATCATTAATAAATGCGGCATCGTGTGAGCAAAGATCGTCTTTGGTGGGAGTAACGGCCTTGCGAAGTATAGGACTACGGAATAGGGAAGGAGATTATTAATTTTTGGGGGTTTAAGATACTATGGGGGGAGGGTGTGAAGGCAACACCAGAGGACAAAAACTTGGAAGTACATTTCAGAATTTTGATTAGAGCTTTCTGCTAAGCGCACGTTGGTGCAGGCCGTGTGCGGAATCGGGACCCTTCTGACATACTTTGCAAGTCTGTGTTATTGAAATAATGTGTTCGCGTTTCATTGGAGGGGTGATAGTAAATTATACCTGCAGTGTATGTTGTAGCTTTCTGTTCAAGACTGGTAGATTTTCAGTGTCACTACATCTTGCCCTACCACAGTTGTTACAACTCTCACAGTGCACGGGCCTACTTGAGCCATTCAAGTTATTATTTTTCTCTGAGTTTGAGCAATAATTTGAGTCTCTCAGTTCATAATATGAATCATGATGATCAAAACACCCAGACTGGTTCTTGATAGTCGAAATTTTTGTTTTAGGCCCTTCCGAACTCTCAAAGCAGGATTTATTTTTTACATAGTAATGAGAGGAAAATATTACCGGTATAATAGACCGAAATATTTAAGTCAAACAAGACCCCAGTACGACACTGAACACTAGCATGTTGATGACTGGAGACATGTATCTTGTACACGTGTGTGCTCCCTTTTTCGAGCTGGTGAGCTAGTAATTTTTTTTCAGGAAATATTGCTGAACACCCTGAACATTTTACTATTACTTGTGTGTCGGTCGTGGTGAATACAAATTTTCCCCTGAAAATACACATTTTCATATTTCCCAATACTCGGTTTTCTGTGGTTGGCATCTCTGTGAATGAATGACATTCACAGCATCTGGTTTTTCTAGAATTTCCTAAGACATGCCTCATATGATGCTTACTTCTTTCTTAGCTCGCAACCTATGTTTAAATTCTTTTAGAGGGGTTTCTGAATTTAAATTATCTTTAAAAACTCTTCAGGATCACCATACTTTCGAAGAGAAGTTACTTTGTTTTCTGAATGTAAAGACTTTGAATTCTTTTAAAAAATACTTTTTTTTTGTCAAGGATATTGCATGTTTTGTTATTTTTTGACAATGACGTGTTGGGCTGTTCCTGAGATTAACAAGTGTATTGATGTGCTGTTTCCATCTCAGCATCCACTGAAAACTATATGATGCCACATAAAGACGAGGAGGAAGAAGACTGGGAAAAGGATCTGCCAACTCCTCTTCTTCCTCTGAACTCCTCCAAAATTGAGCCTGGACAATTTGGTGAGTCTAATGAGCCTACATGCCATTGCTCAGGACAAAAACAAATGCATTTGTCTATGATTTCATGCTTTTTTGTTTCCAATCAAAGAAATTAAGCATGGTAACCAAAAGAAGAAATTCTATTTATTATGAAATTATTAGCTGAAAGATGTATAATTTTAGTGAGCTGCAGAGAATGCTAACTGGGAAAGAATATTTAACAGCTCGAACACTAGCTGAGACTCCGGTTTTCTGTTTAATGCTTTATTTTCTGTCTTTCTTTCATGTCTTGTACCAAACACAGGGTTATCAACAGACCTGCTACTCTATGAAATCTAAAAATCAGGATTTCAGAGGGGAAAAATCGGGATTTGGTGAAAAAATATCGGGATCAACGACAAATGACCAGGGCGACTGCCAAGCTGACTAAAAATATTCCTGGGGTGTCTATAAATATTTCTATGCATACGCCCTATGTGTGTGTGCGTGCGTGTGTGTTTCATCATATATTTTTTTTTAATCCTGAAATATCACGTCAAGCACTCCTAGTCCAAGTGTTTGACATCCGCGAACGTCTCCTCCCCCCACCCCCAATAAGTCCTGAAAGACACTTCAGCCCGTGTGCATGAACATTTGTTTTGCTTTCGATTAAAAAATATTACCCAAATACCTTTAATAGAAGTTGAGATAATTGTGATTGAAGGAGGTGGGGGTTGCCTGGTTTTAGAGATAAAGTAAGACAGAAAACAGCCACCGAAATTTGGTTACTTCCAAAGCTTGATAGTCGTTGGAAATTGAAAATTTAAATTTTGTGTGCCTTAAATCAATGTTTTTCAGTATCATCCACACAAATGTGTTTTTCAATGGACATAAAAGGTGTTGGGTCTGTAAATAAAAACTGGGTAAAAATTGCCAGACAAGCAGGAAAATGCCGATTTCTTTGATTTCACTATTTTGACGAGCACCTAAATACGCCCTGATGCCTCACATATAGTCCGTGTAAAGATTTCTTCATTCTTTAGTGTTTGTGGACTAGTGTTTTGTTTTCGTTTAAGGCATGAGTACATACATACTGAGTCATGTAATAAAAAACCAAAAGTGTCTCTATATTAAGTCGGTGGACACTGGTAGTGGGAGGACTAGCAGGTCCTACTTCTTTACTTTCCCTCTGTTTTTTTCCCAGCCCTAAATGACTACTTTCATGTCAATGTGCTTCTCTTTACTCAAGCAAACATGCATAAGCTGGTAGGGACAGTATGCCTTCCAATTTATTATTATTATATGTATTCTAAATCTCCATGTTCTGTGTAACTGTTTCAGAGCATTAAGAACCTGATAAAGCTGATGTCCTCATTTTTGCTTGTCCCCCAGACTTGGACGATGAACTGAGAGACCAGAATAGATTACTACAGTCATCTCCTCTTAGCTTTGACTTCTATGGCAACCCGTCCAAACCCATAGATCAGATCATCGAGAGCCACAAGCATTTGCCCTACCTACTACACGCATCCAGAGTCAATCGGCGTCTTTATGTGCCTCCTCAGGAAGAAGAAGGCCAGTTTGACAGCGATGATGACGGTCAAGAGCATGATACTCCACATAGTGTACACAGTGCAGATGTGTGCACTGAAAGTTATGATAATAGCGAACTTGGTGCTAAAGTTACAAGTAACAATTTGCTTGACCCTCCAAGTCTAGATAGCAATCATTCCGTATGTAATTCAGCAATTCATGAAGTGATCCCCGGTCAGTTTGATGATGATAATAGTTGACGATAGTTCCTTCCAGTAGCGATGTACAAAGTATAGTCAGGAAGACCCATGGTTGAAACAGTGTCAGCTCCAGTTTCTTGTTAAATGTTTATTGTTTGTTCTGGGTTTGTACTTAATTTCCACTCTTTTTGAACTGTTATAGCTACATTTATTCCTTGTTTTTAAGTTTTAGTTTTGAAGTAGTTTGAAAAGCAGATGTACTGTAGTATCTTTCTACAAGATAATAACAAATCAGTGTAGTGCACATGCTTGCGGCAAGGAGAATCAGCCAAGGGATGTCTTTTTCCCTTTTCTGATATGCTGTGGCATCTCACATTTTGGTGCGTTCAAACAGCTCTCAGTTTTGGTTTGTTTTCAGAATCACACCACCCCTTCCAATACATCTTTTGAAATGGGAAAAAAAGTATCTTTAAAATTGTGATCTTTGTGTTGAAATTGCTTTAGAAATTTCTAAAAGCCGATGAAATTATTAACTGAGCAGTGTATTTTTTTTTAACATTACAAAATGTTTGAATATCCATTTTAACATCTTTAGACACTTGAGTTGTTCAATGTGGTATTTGCAAAATGCAAAGGTGGTTTTCACAAAAGCGCATACCCAAGGCAGAATCTTGGAGTCATCCGGTCAGCAACCAGGCGTCCTTGCTGCACACTGCAGTCTCGATCTATCTTTTTTATCTCTGGAATTTTAATAAAACTTGAGTTGCAATTCTCATTAATTTTAGATCAAGTGTCTAGATGTATTTTCTACAGTAAGTAGATCTAATTATAATATTTACTTTAGCTTTTAATTAATTTAATTTTTTGCTAAAATCAGTTATGTTATTGTGTCTGCAAAATAACAACAATAATAATGATTATGTTGTTATTGTCAAGACTAGTTTACTTTTAACTTTATCAATTTGTGCCATTTCCTTTGATATGGCCAAAGAATGGCAGAAGAATTTACAGGCAATATGCCTCAAAGTTTTGTCTTCATTTAGGGGTTTGGGTTTTTTTTTCACTTCAGATGTTTTGACTGTGATAAAGATTAATTTCAAATGCATCCATGACATAAGGTTATAATAGTTGCCATTAAAAGTGACAAACCCGATGTAGTTGAGAATTTAAGCAATTTGATTTATTATGTAAAAGCAGTAAGTAACTAACCCAAGAAATGGAAATTTGTGCCAACCTAAACTAATATCGATAGAATGTGGGAGAGAAAGAAATTCAAAATATAAAAGGAAGTGTACTATTTATTTCTCATCCATAAACATTGTTATTTGACAAACTAAAAGAGTTTGTAATGCTTCGTGAAGAAAAAAGTAGGACTACTATAACAGAATCTGTTTTTGTAATGAGAAATGTGTCAAAGACAAATTCTAAAATAATAATATTAATGCCCATGAAATTTGGAAATGGTTACCTTGTTGCCTTATTCTTTCATAAGTATGAGCAGAGAAGAAAAACAAAGAAAGTGATAAACAATTTGTCTAAATATGATCATTAGAAGTAAAGGTATTGCAGATTTTATCCATTTTGGGTTATATTTAGGTGTTATCTTTAAAATTCTGTACCTATATAAGATACAAATAAATCGTTCAATGACTTTGTACAGAGAGCACTGTATATATTAGAGATATCCAACAAATTGGTGAATAATACTGTTCGGCGTGGGATCAAATCAGGCTGGGCTTACACAGCTTCTTGCCAAGGAGTAACAATCCTGGAGGCATCTGGGGCTACGGGCCTCCCTTCATCCAGCGTGTGCATGGAGATCAAGGTCATCACTGAGGCTCTGAAATGGCTTTGCACTAATGGAAACTGGCAGGCTACCTTTGTTACAGACTCAATGAGTACCCTGGATAAGATACTGACCGGCAGCCTCAATGCAGATTGGTTTAAGACAATTCAAGACAGCAAAATCCAACACTTGCAGTGGATCTTCTGCCCAGGACATGCAGGAGTCAAGGGAAATGAAAGAGCAGATAAGCTAGCAGGCTCCACAAACATGCTTACCCTTGACCGTCCAACTGTAGTAGCCCTTGTCCAAGATCACATAGCCAGCAGCGGTGAAGAGGAAGGAGGTTGTGATTGCAAAAGCAGTGTAGCCTGGGAAAGGTAGGAGGAGCAGCCTGCGTGACCCCATCAGACGCTACAACAACCAGCTGATGATGGAGACAATCAGTCTGCCCACACTGAAATAGACCCTCATGAAGAGGGGCGAGGAAGCATGGAGCACCCCGTCCTCCTAAGACCCCAGTTCTACATTCAAGTAATTCAAGTAATTTCAAGAAATATTCCATCATGTGCTGAACAATAGTCATTTGAGTTTTAAAGTTGCGTTTTGATGGCAGAAAAACAGTGTGTTAAAATGGCCTCAAATGGTTTTGAAAATAAGTAGGAAAAACAGTCATAACTTTTTAAACTTATAAAGATACATTGGAACTCAGATTCAACAAAATCGGATTCAACGAAAACTTGATTTCAACAAAAGGAGATGAATTTCCCGTTTTTATTATTCATTAAAATCAATAAAAATAGCTCAGTTTCAACGAACACATAAATGAGCAAGCTCGGATTCACCGGTCGCTTGCAGGGTGAACAGACTCCACTGATGTGTCTTTGCTCATTTTTCTCATGAAATTAACTCTATTTATTCCTGAAAACCGTCCATGGCATCTGCATCGTGAATCATTATTCACTAAGCCTATTGTTTATATCTTATGCGACCGATCAGCAGCCTTCTTACCTACCAACACACACGTAGTTAGCACACACACACGTCTTAGCGTGTGTCGGGGTCGGACGGGTGGCCTGCACATGCGTAGCTGTGTGCGTGTGTGAGTGTGTGTGCCCGGGGGGAGGGGGCACAAGCAGTCCAGCCATGGTACGTCAGTAGTCAGTAGAGATACAAATACATAACAGTAGATGTACTCACTTTCAATTTTCCCTACTGGTTGGTAAAACAATAATAAGCTAGTCTTGACCTTGAGCTATGTAATGATTTGCAGGCTGGTCTGTGGAATCAACAAATTTTGCCGTATGCTAGGCTATACACTGCAATGCAACTTGTTCGGCAAACAATACGTCATAGATGACACTAGGCGTGCATTTGAACAAATCTTACCTTTTGCATAGTGTGTGCTTGGTAAAGTTCAGTGCATTTTACTAGAATTTTCCAGCATTTCTTTGGTATGGCATCAAAGAAAGGAAAATGCTTCTCATTTGAAAACAAACTACTTTTGATTGAGGAGTTGAATACATTATATATTTCTATTTTTACTTGCTCGTGCCAGTAACTATCTACAAAAAAAACCTCATGTTTGCCATAACGGACTTTCGGATTCAATGAAATCAAAGGTCAGGCCTGACAAGTTCATTGAATCCGAGTTCCACTGTATCAGTACAGTGTAAATTTTTAATGATAGGAATCCAAGAGCTTTCAAATGAATGTATTTTAAAGCATATCGGAGAACTTTTGAATTTTTCTCTGAAAAGCCTGTTACATCTTGTGTTTTCATATGTTTATATTCTTTTCCCTAGTGAATAATTTTGATCACTTTTTTTTTTCTTGGACCTTTCATATTATAAATAGTTTTTTAAGACATTTTTGCTTTAAATTTTGCAGATGTTACTCTGCCTCTGCATTTTTTGTTTCTTAGATCAATTTGAGTGACGTTGATTCTGTGGTGTATAGTTAATGCGGTTATCGAAATAACTTTAGCTGCCCAGTAGCAACTGTTCTTTTCTTGAAGATAGCTTTTTGGTAAAGTGGTCTATGTGTATGTCAACATTTTTAGTCCCAGTTCTGTCCAAATATTTAGGCTAAATTGTTGTCTATGCTGACTGTTTACTTGCAAAGATTTATTGTGGCTCTTTTAATGAATAATGCTACTTTACTTTGGGGGGGGGTTACTAAGTTGGTTTTCTAAAGTTATTTCAATTTACGCTGGTCATTCCAAATGCACAAAAATATTGATGTCTAGTCATTGTTGTTCCTTTTTACTTTCTTCTGTCTGAATAGAAGCTGTCAGTTGTTGGTGGGTTTGCAAGAAAGTTTAAAGGGGCAAGCAGGGTTTTTGTTTTTTTAACCAGTTTTGGGGTTAGATATATATCAATTTTTGGAAGCGTGCATATTCTGTCTGTAAAATTACTCTTCTACCGATTCAACATATTTGTAAAATGAAATGTTAAGTCCTTCGTATCAAAGCAATGCCATAAAACATCCTGTGTCCTTGGTAACGAACCAAAATAGAACAGGAGTGTTCATGAATGCCATTTTGTTTGACTTTCTCAGCAAGTCAAAACCCAGCCTCTATTTTTCTAATCATTTTTTTTTGTTTGTTCTTCAAGATATTGTCTTCAAAATTTGGATGAATGCACTTTAACATATTATACAATTCACTGATGCATTATATTTTAGAAGTACATAGATAAGATATTTTTGATCAGTGAATTGAAGTTATGTCCACAAGATAATTTCGAAACGAAAATGGATTTAATTTATCTTGTCAAAAAAGACAAATGGGCTTGAAAAGTAGCCTGCCCGCTTAAGCATTGTGTTAAAAGTATGTGTGTACTGACGTTTGTCTGAACAATGAAATTTCTTACGCGCTCTCTTTACTGTATTGAGCTGGTCTTATATTTTTTATTCCCCCATTTACACAACTTAAATCATTTGGGAGGCAGGCTTCTGACCCTGCCTGCCTGGGTCCACCCATGCTGAGAGGGATACTACATCCCAGCAGAAAGACTGAGGCACTCTATAAAAATGTTCTTCTCTCCAGGGAATCGAACTCAGGTCTCCAGTGTGTGACAGTGAAACACATACCCGCTACATCAAAGACACTGGTTTATTTCAAGGAAAAATATCTTTCAATACACAAGCCAAAGAAAGATCAGCGTTCCCTTTGCATGTCTTACTGACAAGGAAATCAGTTTTTAAAAGTAAAGCTTAGGAAATGATATGAATATGAGAAATATGCTGCGTGGAAGAACAAAGTGCTAGTGCTCAGAGATGCTTGCAAGAAAGGGGAAGAAGAAGACCAAACTGTCAGCTGTGCTTGCTTCTACCTGCCAATCTCTAACAAGAATGCAGATTTCTGTAAGAAGAGAAGACTGGCAAGGTACATTTGGCCATCTGTGATTTCGCTGACATGAATTGTCAGTGCTTCAAGTGGTATGATTCTGAAAGTAAGCAAGGAGCACCAGATATAACAATGCACGAAAAAGGCCTTCCTCTTCTCAGATGGATGTCACGGGCGAAACAACCCCAGAATGCCCTGGGAATTTCAGTAAATTCTCTAAGACCCAGATATGCCCTGAGGAATTCAAGGAAATCTCCAAAATGACTCGAGAAAGCCCAGTGAAAATAAATTTTGTCCTCCAAACTTTGCAAAACCCAACCTGATAGGGTCAGAATTACTGGTATTCTTTCAGTAATGCCATCTATGTAACCTATCGTGTCCACTGCCTCGGTCTCTATTTTGCGCACACCATGGCTTTCTTGTCATTATATTGCTGAAATATTTTTTTTGTTTCAAATGTTAACCTATATGATGTCATGTACTGCCATCCATGTGACTATGAGATTGTTAATTTGTGTGTGTGGGTGGGTGAGGGGTGGGCACGGTGCTACTGACTGAAGTGTCTTTAGGCTATTCCCAAAGGGAGGACATTAAAATGTTCTTTTGCACAGCAGAATTGTAAATGGGCTGATTCATCAATGTCATGCTCATAACTCAAACTGTGCCTGAACTGCAACAGGGAACATGCTGGGTTTTTTTTCTTTCCTATTCCTTACTATCGTAATTTTTCCTGTATTTCTTTTGTATGTTTGTCACACTCTTGTGACCTGCTATTTCCAGGGTGCCTTGATAGTCGAAGCAGACTTTGTGCTGTTGAAGCTAGAGAGGTGAACAGTGTAAGCCTGATTCCCTGTAAGGACTTCTCAGTTGATATCCTCTCCTTGGCGCTCGTCATATGACCTTACGCAGTTGCGAGCACCGTAAAGCCTCTACTAAAACTAAACTAAAGATGACTTACCTTGCACAAATTCTTGAGCCCAAGCTTTGGGGACTCCTTTTTAGAGGGGTATATCCATCAGCATGGACAGCTGTGTGTTGTTCAACAGACTTACACGGTATGCACTGTCGTCAGTATTGAGATTCAGAAGAGATACACGGGTTACTCATGTGACGATTACAAGCTTTTCTATTGGTTATTGTGTCCTTAAATCGAAACAGAACATGGTTTGTAGCTCTATGATGATAAATATAGTGTAAAAA